AGGTTTCAGCCGGGAGCAGTGAGAGAGAGAACGGGAGGGGGGAGAAAGGAAGGGACTGGAAAACTAAATGTGGAAGGGGGAGGAAAAGCGCCGATACCCAGAGGGAGAGAAGTAAGCCGGAACGACGACGGGATTCCTATCTCTCGGCGAGTTTCCACCGGCAATTTTATTCACGACTGTCGATCCTTCCGGCGCGGCGGTGAGACGAGACGAGACGAGACGAGGGAGCGGCGAGGAGCGGAGCTTCGAGATGAACTCGAGAAAATATCGGGTAACGAGCATGACTTGGAACGACGGACCCACCGGCGTATCGTACCGGGTATTACTCCGCGCGTTTCCCGCCGCTTGAAATCGGGCGAAAACGTTAATACGTTGACGGCTGCCAGTGTGCTCTAGACAATATCGCGTCTGGACAACGAAGTTTCGTATTATCGGGGAATGTGAGAGTCTGTAACGCGCCGTGTGAAAATTGAACTATTTCGCGTAAAGAACGCGTCGGCAGTAGAATGAAATTCATATTGAAAGGAGAAACATAAAAAGATCCTCGGACCTTATGGAACATGCGAAATCCCTAGAAGGAATAAACGTGCTGCCTGAAGACTATAAATGACGCTCGCAGGTAAAGTCAATTGGATTTTATGCGAGCTATCGAACGAGTCGGACAGCAGCGCTTTTGAATAAATGCCGAATTGCACAAGTGTATAATTGTATAAATTATACATGTTTTTTTACATTCGCATACAGCGAATCTCGATTTGTTTTTAACGCGCAATTACGATATAATAATTGGAAGACAATTAGAAGGCAATCTCTGTCGAGAGAATATTGTAAAAAACGAATATTATTATATTTGCAATTCTGGTGGCAATTCTGGCGTTTTATTGGTCAAAAACGTCCAAATATACTATATATGTTGAAAAAAACGTCTGTACTTAGCGACGTACTTATTCGTGCTGCGGACATTGTTAAGGCCAATACGTAACACTTAGGACATGGACGTGCTCCGACTCAGTTTGGCAAGAATTTCTAAACCATTTGACCATTTAGAAAAGTCCAACCTAGACAGTTCACCCATAAATTTAGTCAGTCTCAAGTGCGACAAGATCTGCCGTGTGCGTATTTGAATGATTGTGTGTTCAACAGGATAGTTTTCAAAAGACAGCCGTTTCCAGAAATGCCGCCTCATCCGAATCATTCTCACGGAAGTGAGTCGGGAATGAAAAATGTTGAAAAACTTTCGCCCATACTTCCTGATTGGTCTCAACACATCTACAACTCTTCAAAGTCCTTTGGAAGGAGTAATTCGAGGCTCGATATAAAAGGAAAACTTTGAAGAAATCAAAGGGATCTTTTTTTTCAAGTAGTATTCAAAAGTTGATAGATGTCAAAACAAAATCACAGCAGAAGTCAATAGTATTCAGCAAGTGGTACTTTTAAAGAGTAATCAAGAATCTGGTGGAAGCGATCAGGCTTAGTACACGATAAAATCGAGGCAAGATCAATCATAGTTATTCGTTTCCCACGTCACGAGTGGGTGATTCTTCGATTCCCAAGGGATAGAAGCAAAGGTGCAAGATCGACGTCAGTCGTGGCTGGCCCCTTAACAGTAACATTTTATCTCGAAAGAAGACGCTTATGCCAGACGAGGGAAATGCTCACGCACAGAGAAATAGAGAGACAGAGAGAAAGAGACATTCGTGCATCGTCGCGTGGACGGGTTGGCGATCAACACGCTGGTGCTCGCGTGCGGAAAAAAATTGCGCAGGCAGCGGAGAGAGAGGCTCGTCAGAGGGAAATTACGAGGGTGTAGAGACCGGGGGAGGAGGGGAGGAAGGGAGGAGGGAGGGAGGGAATCGATTGGACGCGCGCTGTCAATCTCGTAATCGAGGGCTCGTTTTGTTATCGGTTTAACCGAATAACGCTCTCAAACCGATCGAAAATTCGGAGAAATTGCGACGCACGTCGGTCAGCGTCCTGAAATTTCACGCTGGCCGAGCGTCGAACCGTTGGTGTCGTGTTGCGTCTCCGCGCGTCGCGTCGCGTCGCGTCGCCACTCCCCGGAGTGGAACCCTCCGTCCTTCGGTCCTCTGTCGTTCGACGCGCGACGCGGCGTGGCGTCCGCTGTTCGCCGACCACCCTCCTGCTACTACTGCTGCCCACCATCCCGAGCATCGGCCGCCGCAAACCATTTTTACACGCGGTCACCATTTGGCGCCGTGCGAAATTCATCTCGGCGAGTGCAGCCGCCGGTGTATATCGCCAACTCGGGTTGTTTCGAAGCTAGCGGCGACCACAGCCTTCGCGCATTCACCGGATTAAATCATAAAATTGTCCCGGAACGGAGCCCGGAATTCCACTGATTTACGAGAATGGTCGGGCGCGTACACTCGACGCGCTCGGCTCCGGCCTCCGGTATCCGTTGCACGCTTCCATCCGTTCGCGTTGGCCAGTTTAGTCGGCTGGTTGGCACGTTGCGCGTTGCGTTGCGTTGCGTCTCGATGCGTACCTGGCCACGCTGGCCGTCGTGTTCCCGCTATAAGCGCCATTCCGCGCGAAAACGCACAACTCTCGCGCGTATGCAACCGCAGCCTCGAGACAGAAAGAACAGGACGACGGCGCATCGCGTCGGAAGAACGGCGTGACGAGGCGAGAGAGGATTAGCGAGTGTGGAAAGAGAGAGAGAGAGAAGAGAGAGTTACATTCCGCGTGCACAGTAAGAGGGACGTAGCGGCAGCAGCGACGTTTTTCACGATTCAACGGATATATTTACGAGCTTTGTTCGCCCGTGTAATTCCCGCGACTTATAAAGCGTTCCTGCCATTGTCCGCGGTGGAAATCCAGCGGGAAAATTGAATGACAAACAATGGGCCCAACCGAGGCCGATTATGGCAACAATGTGAGTGGAGCGACCGGTGACGCCGGTCCTTGGCTCTTCTCTCTTCTCTTCCTCGCGACCCTGCCGCGCAACCGAGCGATTCAAACACCCTCTCTCTTCGTCCATCTAGCGTTCGTGCCGGTCTCCGCGGTCTCGCGGTCGCGTCCGTCATCTCTCATTGATTGCTCTCCTTGTCTCGGGGCTCCCTTTGTCTAGCCGTTCGTCTCTGTGTATCCGTCGGTCGAAGCGACCGGCCACCCTTCGTACTTTGGATTTTCCGCCGTGTGTGCGCGCGCGTATCCTACGCGAGTTTTGTGGCTCGGCCTGGAGGCGTCCACACAGACGAGGGATTCGTCGACGAGAGGGACAATGCCTTGCCGCATCGTATCGGAAGAGACGAATATTTCTAAGCGCGTCGTCGTCGTCGCTCTTTGTCCTCTCTCTATCTCGCCGTGTATCGGAAACAATCTCTCCCGATCCGGCCGATTTCGCCGATCTCGGGCGGCAACTCGCGTACATGCAGAACACACCGTGTGCACCAGACAGACTTTTCGTCTCGCGCGATGCCTCTCTCCACCGGCCAATGTTTGTGTTTTACTCGACGTGCTCCACGTGGAAGAGAGAGAGAGAGAGAGAGAGAGAGAGAGTGTTTTTGGCTGGCGGCCTACGCCAATCGGACCGTTTCGCCGGATGGAGATTTTACTGCCTTTGCCTGTCCAACTCTCATTCGTCGAAACACCGTTATCGTCATTATTGTTATTATTTGTACTTGTGTGTTTTTTTCACCTCTTTAGCATTATACATGTCCTTTTTACATATATCGTATATATCGCGTCTGTCGGCCATGTCTTTTAGCTCGAAGAATCTGGGAGAATGGTGCGAGCGAACGATCTTTATTTGATTTCGATTTGAAGAAGCACTGATTTCCCTGATTTTCACCAACGTCCACAAACAACTATTTCCGACGTATTTCCTTTCATCATTGTGCGATTTCAATGAACGCACGCAGGTGAAACATTCGAAGCTATCCCTTAAACTGAAAGTACTTGTAAAGAATTCAAGTACAAGGACCTGTTCGAAGGCAAAGGTTCGAAGAACCCGATTTCACATCGCAATAAACGTTGCTCCTTGCATTTCTCCGATCGCTACTTCCGAAAACGTAGCCTTGATCGGAGATTAAGAATGGTCGCGAAAGGGCATCGCGTCACGAAGGATAGGTTCGCACGAAGATCGGTCTCGCGTGACCGCCTAGACTCAGCCGAACAAAAGGTTTCTCCTATTCGTAAATCGCAAATCGAATTAAGCTCTCAGGCGGCACGCCATCCGCGATCCAACCGCGATTCGTCAGCGCGTATAAAAGGAAAGGATCGCGATAAACGAAGTCAAGTGAGTTGCGGAACGTATTCACAACCTCTCAACCGCGTCTCACTTCAAGCCGTGTGTGCGCGCGTTTCACCTTGTTCCTTTTTTTTTTTTTTCAACGCGGGTTTTATCGCCACTTTTTATCCTTTCCCGATATTATCTTTCCCGATCCACACATACACACACACACACACATAGAGACACACATATATTTTCGTCGTTCGACGATTCAGTTATCCCGACTCTGCCGTGATTGTCCAAGCTATCGCGATCCAGTGCATATCGCTGCGAATCCAACGTCGTTACAGAATCCCCGTGTACCGAGCGTGAAATTTTCGAGTCGTGCCGGGATGTTGCTGCGTAATCAGACTTTCGTTAGCGGTCCATTGGCTTTCATCGGCGAGGAAGCTGGGTGTGTACCTTTGAATCGTCTTTGCGAGAGAAATCGAAGAATGAAAGGCGCGCCGCCGCTGCTCGAAAGTCTTGCGGCAACCCATGTATTTATTTCGAAATTGGAAAAATTGGAATAATGATTCCTTTCATTATGTTTCAAAGCAGTACTAGATGTACCTGTTTCGAAGCTCGGAAAAGTCAAACAACAGACACTGCAACGAATCCACGTTCACGCGTTTTAGAGAAGTTTCAGAAGTAAAATGAAATTGAAATTAAAAATTTCCGCGATTCGACACTGAAATTGTGATGGCACGCAGCTGAGAAATTTTACAGCGCGTGATAGAAAAAGAAAAAAGGCCGAGTGTCGAAAATTTAATTTGAGCAGCGAATCGAAGCACTTTGCTCTCTGCAAACGAGAGAGTACGTTCAATCTTCCGAGTCGCGCGTAAATTGATAGTCCAGTGGACAATCGCGGAAAAGGAAACGAGAGCACGACGATTAAACGTTTGCCAATCGTTTGCCAGGTATGTTCCGTCGATGCGTGAAAGATTTCTGGGATGGAACGTACCGCCGGAGTACTCGGATCTCGTGCACCCCCACTGGAGAGGGTTCATGGCACCTGGAAAATATTGGCACATCGGACTTGCGCTCATCTATTCGATGCTGCTGGCAATGTCCTGCGTGGGCAATTGTTGCGTCGTATGGATATTTAGCACGTAAGTTTCCGAGTTTTTCTATATAGATAGAGATCGCCAAAGTGCCGGGAATCGCGGCGAATGGAGGTCGTGGTGCCATCCCTCGAGAAACGGCGGAATACTCGGCTCGTCCGGTCGATCGATCGTCGCCTTTCCCTTCCTCGAAAAACATACCGTGCGCGGTATCTCGTGCGTTCGCAGAATTTCTACAATACAATGTCGCACGTCGATAGAACAGAGAATGCTGTAGAGCTAGAACGTTGGTGTGTTTGCAGATCGAAATCGCTGAGGACGGCTTCGAACATGTTCATAGTCAGCCTGGCAATATTCGACATAATAATGGCCCTGGAAATACCGATGTTTATAGTGAGCAGTTTCGTCGAGCGTATGATCGGCTGGGAAATTGGATGCGACATCTACGCGGTGTTGGGCTCGGTCTCTGGCATGGGACAAGCCATCACGAACGCTGCCATCGCCTTTGATCGATACAGGTTACGATCCAATTACGATTAGAGATATATACGCCGAGGTGACGATACTGAATGAGCTTTCCCCCTTTTGCGCAGAACCATTTCCTGCCCGATCGATGGACGGCTCAACTCGAAACAAGCCGCGGTAATCATCGCCATCACGTGGTTCTGGGTGACGCCGTTCACTGTTTTACCGCTGTTGAAAGTTTGGGGTCGATTCACCACCGGTAACGAATTCTCAAAGAGCAGTTTTAACTTCTCTTTTTTGTAACAAAAAAAAAAAAAAAAAAAAAAAAGAAAAAGAAAAAGGAAGAAAAGAAAAAAAGATGCAAGTAGAGGTTCATTTACGTGGACTTCACTTCATTTCAACTAAATTTCGAATTCGTTTTTCAATCAGTTTGAAAAGTACCAAGGAACTTCATTTTGTAAGCGTCTAGCTTCCACAATTTTATGGAATTGGAAGAAATTTAAATATTTATCAAGTGTTGAATGAACCCACACTGATTGAACTTATTGGAACTATACGAGAGGAGAATCACTGCACTCTCGTTATATAAACTTCAATTATATAAATTATTTTTTCCAGTTCTTCCAATTCGTGTAAATGGAATTCTACTGTACTCGATACGCGAGTTCTCGCTCCTACGTGTTATTTCAATCGAATCGTTCCAGAGGGATTCCTCACTACTTGCTCGTTCGACTTCCTGACGGACGACCAAGACACCAAGGTCTTCGTCGTGTGTATCTTCATCTGGTCTTACGTGATTCCTCTGACCTTCATCGTATACTTCTACTCTCAGCTACTCAAGTCCATTCGCAATCACGAGAAAATGCTCCGAGAACAGGTTGGCCAAAAACTTCGCGTCTCTCCAACCATCTGTTTCTGTTCTTTTTTTTTTTTTCTTTTTCCCCGAATAAAACTCCACCAAATAAATTTCTTCGTTTCTGCGTCCGCAGGCAAAGAAGATGAACGTGAAATCGTTGGTGTCGAATCAGGACAAGGAAAGGAGCGTTGAACTAAGAATCGCCAAAGTGGCGTTCACCATCTTCTTCCTCTTCCTACTAGCTTGGACGCCGTACGCAACGGTCGCCATGATTGGAGCATTTGGCAATCGGTAATTTCGCAGCAATTCTTCCGGTCGTTCTCACCATTTTCCACGCTAAAATCTATAAACATGTCGTTGCAGCGAAGTTCTGACGCCGGTGGCCACGATGTTGCCCGCTTTGTTCGCCAAATCGGTGTCTTGCATCGATCCGTGGATTTACGCGATCAATCATCCGAGGTAACTAATCACTCGCGATACTCGCGATACGGCTTGAGTATCGCTTGAACGTTCAGTACAAACGAAAACGATACTATCGCATCTCTCCGTATCTCTGCGTAGATACCGGCAAGAATTGCAAAAGCGGTGCAAATGGATGGGCATTCACGAGCCGGAAACAACCCACGACTCCGCGTCTGCCCAGACTGAGAAGATTAAATCGGACGAGGCATAAATCGAGCTTTCTGATCCTGAACTTCCAACACGTTAATGCGCTAACGGGCACGATCGGTCCTCCAGCATCTCGAGATCGAGATACACTGAAAACCACCGAAAAACCACCACCACCACCGGTGTCATCTCGGTCTCTCGACTCTGGTTTCTACACTCTCGATTCTCATACACATAGCCTACACGTAAAATCGGAGATTCTACGTGGCTACGTGAAATCTTGAATCACTATACGATGTTAATACGCGGTTGTACTGTTGTTGAAACATTAATAAAGTAAATTACAGAGCAAAGTGTGTTTCCCTTCTGACTGACGTTGCTGTCCTTTTTTTCTTCTTCTTCTCTCTCTCTCTCTCTTTACTTTAACTTTGTCTCTTCGTTTGTTTTGTACGTATTAATTTACGTTTCAACGATTTTTCTCCCCTTTTTTTTTCAACGTAACGAGAATTTTTCAAACGTAAACTGTTTAATACGAATACGCGAAACTCTTGAAGATATAAGAAGACTGCAACTGGCAATAATAGTTCCCTTTCTTTTACTATATATATATATATATATATATCTCTCTCTCAATGGCGAATCGAAAGAAAGTTACATATGCAAGAGCCACTGTATATTTTAGCAGATAAAGTCGTCGTAAATTTCCCCATCTGGAGGCTCGCCGATCGCTTTTCGAACGTACTTGCAAACTTCATAGTGTGCCGTTTCGACCGCGAGATCTACAATTCCATCATCAATTGAACGGTATGTATAATGCGCAGGAGAGATTGCGCAACAACACTTGTAACTTGCGCAGTGATAGACGCGCGACAATTGACTTGGATTCAAAGTGAACTTCACGTCAACTCGTCAATGCTCGGACGAAAATATTAAGCGGCTTCTCTGATCGAAGGGACAAAATAACTCTCGCCAATAAGTTGTAATAACGCGAACAGACGTCAAAGGTTCACAAGGATCTAATCGATTCGCCGCGAGTCGTTGCGAAATTTACAGCACGCTCGCTGTAAATTTGTCGAACAAAGCACACACCACGGGTTTTCTTTTAATAACGAAGCTTTGCCCGCGACACACACCTAAGTTCCTTCTTCTTTCCCCTGCTGTTTTAGCCAACAGAAGGGCGGGAAAAGAAAGCGCGTAGCAGCTTGTGTGTCGACGCTTGTTACGGAAAATTGAGAGGATCTTGTTACATTCTCGTTATCCTGATCCCTTTAACTCTGCTAGAATTTTCGCTCTTAAGATTCGCAGAAAGGTGATATTTTACGGGAGACCCGCCGAGAAAGAAACTATTTCGTTACACAGATTTGCAGCCACTATTATGCTACAGAGATGTTGCCTCCCTTTAGAAAACGTCTTAACACATTCGTGCCGTTGTACGCAATTATTTCCAACTGTGCAATTGCGTATTTTCTCTCCCCCTCCTCCACTGCCAGAGACTGTTTTCGTTTTAAACGCGTTGCTACGCCTGTTGCTTTCCTTTGTCTTTTTAAGTAATTTTATCAGAGTGCATAAACACGCAACAGTTGCGTCAGTGATATTACCTGCAATTAGATGATTAAAGTGGCCCGGCAAGTGCGCGATAATAACTTTTCATCGCTAGATCGACCACGATCCTGAAGATTTAAGTCCCTCATTTGCAACAACTCCTTGTGTAAACTCGACGTGTAATTTCTCTTTCATGAGTCGCTCTATTGAACTTTGAACGTTCGGATTAAACGACAGAGATTCTGTTCTTCGTTTTGTCGTTCAAACCAGACGTTCAAAGTTCAATAAAAATCATACTAATTTCAAGAATGTAATGTAAAATTTCAGTCGTGGAGCAAAATTTTCCAGTGATTCCAAAGAAGTTTGTTTACATTTTTCGAGAACAAAAATATCCATACATTCCCACCTCTGTGCACAACATCTTCGAGAAAGAAAAACGAATTCGCTAATGGGATTAGAAAAGTGGAGTGTTGTAATATCTTTCTCACAGACGTATTACAATCGTTCAAAATATCGGCAATTCCCCCAGTATTCGTGCGTGTACGTTCAATAAACACGGTCGAATTTTAACAGCAAACAATTTCCTCCGTTTGTCTCTTCATCCGCGAAACATTCCCTCGTAAGCCACCCAACCCGAGTATCATTTTTCACGAGCGCACGGTTGATTCGCGTCGATTTGTCGCGAGAAACACGACGACGAGGCAACAGAGGAGATTCAAACGTTGATTTTTTTTTTTTTTTTTCATGACAGGAAGATTCCATCGAGGAAGGCGAAAGACGATTAGCCGAACGACGAATGGGAAGCGGGGAAAGTTTAGTCCCGAACGTGGCTCGTAACGCGGCTCGGATCGTGTGTAGGTACACGCAGTAGATAGTGCACTCGCGTGGCTCCCCGGACAGTAGGCGGAGTCAACGGATAGCCCGGCAGTTCAGTTAATATGCAGTTAGTACGTCATTTGTTTCTCGCCACTGGGAGGGCTTATCGTAATCTCGAACGTCATGGCTTCCCACGATCCCCCGCGTTAGCAACGCTCTGACCTCGTGCTGATCAGGCTCGAAATGTCGCGGGACATTAAGCGCAGCAACGCCGCGACGAGAAACACTTTTCTGATATCGAGAAAGTAACCAAGAGAGTCTGATTTACTTACCTTCCTACTGTACTCTCGATCTTAATCCCCATCTGAATCGATAATCACGTGGTAACTCGGTGGTAATTCGATTCATCCGTAACGAAACGTGCACGCGCGACTCGTTCAACGAGTGAATAACCAATCAACCGAAATTTCATCGTATTTGCTGCCCCTCGACCATTTCCCCTTTCTCTTCTTTTCTCGTCTTCCTTTCTTAATTTACTCTTCTCCGTGAGAAGTCCGTTTTGGACGCGCGACTTTCGCGCAATCAAAGTTTTCCGCGGCTCGTCCCCCGTCTGCGAGCACGAGGCTGCTGTTGGAGAAAAGCGTCGAATGAACAAAGGAGCGAGCGAGCGAGAGAGAGAGAGAGAGAGAAAGGTACGAAGAAGGAGAGCAGGAAGAAGGAAGTGAGTGGAGTTTGACAGGACGAGGGTCCTGGCTTCGAAGAAATCCTTGATTAGATGTTGCCGTCAAAGGGACCCTTCGTTTTCTGAGGCTCGAAAAGAAAGAGAGAGAGAGAGAGAAGAAGAAGAAGAAAAAGAAAAGAAGGGAAGAAAGAAGAAAGAGGAGAAAAAGAGAAAAGAAAGAACGCAGACAGATAGAGCATAAGTAGGGAAGGGAACGAACGATGGCGAATGTGCGAAGCGAGCGTGGGAAGCGAAGGAATCGGTTTGGGGAGCGAATTAAAAATTGTTCCAGTCCGCGAACACGGGAAGAATCGAGAGCGAGGAGGAGCGAGGAAGAGCGAGAAAAAGGAATAAGGGGGAGGCGTTTTAATCGAACAGGTCTCGGGGAAGGGATTGCGCCGGGACCGAGAGTAGAAAAGGAACGATCCCACTCGGTTTAAGATACATCCCATCCTATTTCCTGAAGTCGCACCGGCGACGACCAGTTATGGATGTTGAAAATTCAATTACGTGGGATTTATGGCCGCCGGCGCTGGGCATATTTATTGTCGTAGCATCTCATTCTAAGGGATGGCCTGGCTCCCGTCTGTCCTCGATTTTCGCGTCACCGTAACGTCCACTATCCAAATATTGGTTGCAAATACGTACGCGTTCGATCGTATTTTAGAGTCACGCGTATTTCCCTCTCTCGTCGGAAATCTCTTCCGTTTCAAGTGTCTTTCTCAAACGACTGGCAAAAAGGAGAATAATTGTACACATATCTCGGAGACATTTTTGGCAATATTTCTAATTATTTCGTTGTTCCGATAGTATCCCTTCGATCGTTACGTATTACGGTAAAATTCATAAAACAAAGGAAAAATCTAACATAAAATGTATTTGAAATAAATATACTGGACGACTTGAATAAAAGAATTCAATGAAAAAAAGAAAAAAAGAAAATTTGCTACCAATCGTTGATTGTGTCCAAAAGGTTACGGGCTTTCAGAATGTAATACACGCATCGAGCAATCGAATAAACAAAATTAACGAAAATAAGTAAAAAATGCGACGTCTGCATTAAAGATGTAGGCGCATCCAGGTATTAAAGAGCGGCAGATAGTATTTTATAGCGTTTAGGCGCTTCGCTCTGCAAGACCGTCCTCTTTTAAAGCTGTCTTAATCCCCTGTTAAGCGCGGGGTAATAAACTCTGCAGTGTTCATTAAGGCAGACCGTATAGTCTTTTTGTTCCCCGGCACGAGATGTATATTAACGCGAGCAATAAATATCATCCTTATCGGCAGCGTTTCGCCACCTTGTTATCGTGTATTGATTTTCCAGCGCGAAAAATAGCGAAACAAAACGCCACCGAGGAGAGACTTGACGAATTTTCGATAGGATCCGGTTCGATACTACGCAGATACTTGCGAATCTGAGTCGAGTTTCGTTTTATGGCTATCGAATGCTACTCGAAGTACTGCTCTGCAATTCGTTCTAATCGTTCGTCATAGGTTTCCAAGGATAGCGCGTACATTCTTAACACGAAACATATCGTAAAGTACGAACATTCGAATATGCAAGTGTTACAAATTGAAACTTTGTACATTGCACTTCTCACTACTCTTTGCGCGAATTCTATGGCACCGTGGCGACGTTAAAGAAATTGCGAAATAGCTAAAAGGTCGGCCAGCGAAACCGAAAGTGCACACACAATTGTACACGCGGAGGAAACGGCGAATGTGAAATTACAGCGGAGAGAGAAGGAGGAGGAGGAGGAGGAGGAGGAGAAAGAGGCGCTGTCGGAGTATCGACTCGAGGGAGCAAAACATCTCATCCCTTTCCCGCTCTCTTGCGGCGGCTGCTCTCTGAGAGACCCTCGAAAACCTGGTGGAGAAACGGCGCGGTTAAAAATTTCACCTTTTGTTCGAACGATTCGGCCACCTTTGTTTCGCGCGGTTCTCGCGTAAAAGGCATATTAATACGGTCTAGCGATTATGTTCCAAGAGGCGCGCGTACCCACGCGGCTTCAGAATGGCGCGTTTTACACGAATCGGTGATTGCAGGTGGTAAAAATCGCAATTTTTACGACAGTGTTCCTGCTTCCTTGCTGGAAGTTCCTGTTTCCTTACCAACTCGAGTTTCTACGAGTTTTGGCAAGCTTTTGCAAAATACGCCGTTGCGTATCGTTTCGAATTTTCCGCGAGTTTCAAGGGCTGATTGGTTCCTGCGTAACTTGATTGTTCGGTTCGAAGCGAGCTTTCTCATTCG